AATATACCCGCTCCATTACGTTGAACTGGAATAGTGCATAAGAATGAGGTTTGGTCTTTCCATGTTCTAGCTAATGGCGTGCCATCATCTGCATTCAGTGGTCTAGTTAATGAGTCCTCGTATTCTTCTGTGCATTCATTCACTCCATCTAAATCAGAAGCTTGAAGCATACGTGTAAAGAATATGTCACCCACTGTGGTCATCGCTTGATCGGGGAAGTTTCTGGAATCTATAGTGACCTGAAGACCTCGAAGCATTGGATTTTCTAAAACTGTTCTTTGCATTGCATTCTTCGGAAATGTTAACACAACATCTGTAACATTATGAAGAGCGTATGAGAAATCTGAGCTAATACCTTCAGGAGTGATGCAACCTCCATTTAGTGAACGAACGTCAATATGTTGAGCTGGAATCATGAATGGATCTTCCTTACTGAATAAACGTGGTATTGCTTTAACTGATTCTTCAATTAAACCGTATCCTGGTGTAATGCATTTATCCTCTAAAATTTCCATCTTTGTGCATGAAATAATAACGTCATCAACTATTGCGTCAGCAGATGTAGCGGCTAAGCTTGTAATTAATTTGGTAGAAAGTCCGATTTGTTGGAATTTGCGATCATATTTATAAACATGATTCATAATCTTTTCATAATTTTCATCAGTTATCTTTTCATAAACGTAATTTTGTAAATCAGCAACTCTTAACGGGTCAACCTGACAAAATACTAAAGTATCCCTGAAAACATAATATTTAAGAATGATATCACCAAATGATTTAGGATAATCATCGAACGCCTGAAATGCTAACAAATCATTTACCGGAATAATCATATCAAAAGTGATATCAACTTCTTCATTTGCTTTCTTGAAAACTTCTGAAGGGTCAATATATTTACCACATACTGAGTTATCATATTTTTGAACATTATTATATAACGAATGAACAAACTTTTTAACTTTCCTTTCTGATTTTGGTTTATATGTTGCAAATGCGAAAGATTCACGGGCGCAATCCATCTGAAGATAACCGGCATCACCTCTTTCAGTTTCTACTTCTAATTGTTTAAAGCTTTGATTTGATGATTTGTAACCAACGAATAAACACATGCATTTAAAAGCGGTATCACATGTGAAAGCTTTATTTGAAACTAGAGTTGCTTTAACTTTGCGTTTAATATATGTGTCACCTAATTGGTTCACATCATGAGCCGGATTTGTAATTCTTAAATGAGTTTGTTTATCATCAAAATATGGAGCATCAGAGTCATAGCATGAACTTTCAAGTTCTCTATAATATCTTCTACCGTCATTCTTTGCGAATATTTCATTTATCTTTTCGAATGAATGAAACACATTTCCATTAATCGGTTTAGTGTTTGGCACCAAATAGTTAGTCGTCATTTATTATTAAATAAAAAATCAAAATTAAAAGATGAAAATGAATTTTTAATTTTAATGAAATAATCAACTATGGCTGCAGGTATATTAAGAAAACTGTGGGATAAAGTAAAAAGAGGAGCGCATAAAGTTTGGGAAACAATGAAAGAAGGAGCAAATTGGATATTTAAGAATAAAGAAGCAATTAGTGACATTGCTGAATCAATAACGCCAAAAGCTGCCCCAATAAGAGAAATTTTAAATAAAGAGAGAAAAGTTTATCAAAGACTACAACCGATACTAAGATAAAAATAATATTTATTTTTTCCACTATCCACCTCCTATTTTATTAAGTATCCTTCAGCAATTCCACCAATTTGCGTACCTGCTTGTGCTCCCATCGCCGGATTACCTGCTTTAGTACCTAATACCCCACCTATGATAGTTCCTGCCGTTTTCGCTACTGGTGCCAAAAAGTTTGCAACAGGTTAATAACCTTTTTATAAACCCAACCTGCAGCTTTTTAATTCCATCCCATAATTTTTTTAAAGAATCCTGCCGCCATTTCTGATTTAATATTAATTAAAAATATATTTCATCACTTATATTCTAATTTTATTTAATGATAAATGAAACCAATTTTAAAAATAAATGAAACAAAGGAGGAAGAAATAAATGAAAGTGAAAATGTTCAAAAAATAAACGTTGTTAAACCAATTGAACTGAAATAAAAATTTTTTCATCTGTTGAAGAATTTAATGACTATTATGCTAATAATAAAAAAATTATTTGAAGAATTGACAACATGTAAATTGAAAAATGTTTAAAGTTGATGGATTCAAAAATTCAAAATAAAAGGGGTGGTTAGTTTGAAATCTATTCCTCAATCAAGAATCGCCTCATTAATGAAAATAGATGATTTAACAAAAAGAATAGAAATTATTGAAGAGCGAATGAATCAAATTATTGATTTCATAAATTCAAATAATCATTAGTTTCAATTTATTTTTAAAGTTTATTTTTTAAAAAAATTATTTTTTATTTCATTATGGTAGTGAATCTTTCATTCATGAAAATAATTATTTCTAATTTCTTTTATTCTCTCGTACATACTAGATTTAAAGAATCAGAACATTTCCCATAATCTCCTAAATGTTTTCTTATCCCTAACGTGTGCCAGTTATTATATGAAACTGAATAAACTTTATCTTTATCTTTACACCTTTCATTACTCCAATATATTTATATCTCAGTTTGATTTAGCATTTTCATATTCATTAGCGTTTAATAATTCACAGTCTTCCTTTTTAAATTGATGTTTAAGATATTCAGGATTTAATACTCTACGTTTATATGCTCCTAACTTAGTTCTAAAGGTTTTTCTACAAAATTTAGGAATTCCATCCTCTTTAATGTCATCAATGATTTCCATTTCATTATTTTCAATTTCTTCTTCTCGTTTATGAGGTCTTTGATTATGACTCCATTGATTCCATGAAATTAAATATTTTTTATCATTATATTATATACCTCATTAGCTTATTTTGGCTTTCATATTCATTTAATAATTCACAATCTTCATTTTTTTAAATTGAAGTTTAACCCATTCAGGATTTAAACAATGTTTAATTAATCGCGGAATATCTGACATCATCTATATATAGCTTCTTTTATAAAAGATAAAAAAATAAATTATTTTAAAATTAATGTTAATTTTTTAAAATGTGTTTAGTATATAATATTTATTACTAATTTATTTAATAATGTCGCGCTTTCTTACGAATTCATGACTTAAAAAACGTAAGAAAAAATTTTTATATCATCTATATATAGAAGATGTGAAAATATACCTTCATCTATATATAGACGTAACAAAAAAAGTCACAAAACCCTTCAACATATACTACTAATTTCTCAAAAAACATGATAACTTGATATTTGTAAATATCATACTTTATAACGTAAATAAGAACTTGACCTATTAAGAAAAGCAGTAATGAAAAGAAAATCTGAAATTCATAAAAATTACAAATTTCTGATGACAATTAGCTTAATTAAACCAGGTACAAGATTATATAATTGTATTTTCTATCCAATTATCCATATAATATCTTATCCAGAAAAAATAACTTGATCAATACCAAATGATTTTTTTAACTAGTAAATAAAGTATTTTCTTTACACACACATTGTATATCATAGTTTTTTTTTTTTTTTGGTTTCGCAAAACATCAAAAACAAATATGCTATAAAAGTGACAATTTTAGCAAAACGAAACCCTTATTTAGTATCATTTGATTTTATTCCACTTTGATAGGTGTATCTTTCTATTTCGACAGGTTTTCCGTCAAATTTTCTAGAGATTGAATCTTTTGTTGTTTTTGATCATTATTTTTGTCTTGATTGCTATCAGGGCTGTCAATCTTTGGTATGAAAGAAGGTGGTTCTGAAAACTTCGCGTGATATCTGTAAAATGGACAATAAAGATGATAAGGTTTATTTTCATAGATAATTCAAATATAGCTTTATGAGGATCCCCCTGTAGAAGATGTTCTTCGATATCAAACGTTTCGAGAAGCAATTGTTTATACTCAAAAAATTTAGATATATCGCAATTTAAATCGACAGATTTTGGAAAAATACTCTTTTCGATTGGTTCTAATAACATTTTCGCAATTTTAAGCATTCTCCTCTCAACAGAATTTTCAGACTTAGTTTTTCTTTGTGAAAAACGTTTAACCATTGGTGTGATAGATTCATCATATGTGTAAACTAGTTGAAGATAACCTATATTATATTGCTTATCTATGAAATAATAGTCACATCCAACGAGAAAATCAACATTTTCACTGTCGCATCTGAATGGTATTATTGGAAACGTGTATTTAATCTCGAAATCATCCCCTTCTTTACAATCGGGAACTATTTTCTTATTTATTTCAAATTCTCTGCAAATTTCAGGAAAATTCTGAATTCTTCTGAATTGACGAATGCAATAAACATCTCTGAACAAATCTTCTTCTGTATACGGTATATCTTGTTGTAAGTTATAATGAGGTATTTGACGACATGAACATGTACAACCCCTTTTTTTTGTCATAAACCAATTTTTAGGTAATAAAAACATGAACTTGCTAAATTATCTCCTCAAAAAAAAAATACTTCAATTTTTTCCCTTTTCAATTCAGGGTGCTTCATAGACGATAGAAGACCCTCATAAAAACTAACCTTAATTTTAAAACTTGATTGTTTCAAGTTATTAAGAACGAAAATTAATTCAGAAATCACTCAAATATGTTTATAATTTTCATTTTTAGGAAGAAATCAAGAGATCATGAGTGAATGCTTGAAATATTAAACTCCAAATGAAGAATGCAGGAAATATGCAATTATTTCACGCAACATTGATTTTGTTACATATATGATGAATGAGTACCATATAAAAATTGATTTATTTGCACCTATTCAATTCGTCCTCACAATTTTTGAATGCTCAGAAGATAAAATGCAAAAATTTTATTAAAAAAATGCATAATGAATGACAATTATATTTGCATGTGGAGAAAATAGAAATCGTGGATCATTTTTAGTTTATTTCGATCAAACAAATGATTTAAAGAAATGTTTTGTTTATTCGTCAGTATTTGGCATAAATTCAATGACAAAGATAATTACGGATTAGCCGCTCTTCATAATGCAGCAAAATATAATAATAAAGAAACAGCAGCACTTCTTCTTTCAAATCATGCAAAAATCAACGAAAAAGATAAAAAGGAAAAAACAACTCTTCATTATGCTGCAGAATTTAATAATCAAGAAACAGTAGAGCTGCTTCTTTCAAATCATGCAAAAATCAACGAAAAAGATAAAAAGGAAAAAACAACTCTTCATTATGCTGCAGAATTTAATAATCAAGAAACAGTAGAGCTGCTTCTTTCAAATCATGCAAAAATCAACGAAAAAGATAAAAAGGAAAAAACAACTCTTCATTATGTCGCAGAATATAATAATAAAGAAACCACAGAAATTCTTCTTTCATATGGTGCAAAAGTCAACGAATATGATAATTCGGAAGTCACATCTCTTAATAATGCAGCAAAATATAATAATAAAGAAACAGTAGAACTGCTTCTTTCGCACGGTGCAAAAGTCAATTGGGCAGTGAACTTTGCTCAAAAAGAAATGGTATAACTTCTTATTTTGAATGGTGCAAATATCAATCTCCCGAATTTCTCATACAAACACCTCTTCACCTTGCAACAATATTGAATGAGTGAAACAGTTTTCAATTTTTGACCTAATTTGGAATTCTTGATGAAAGTATAAAAGTATGGAAAAGTAATAAAAATCATTTTTACGATTAGGAGCAGTACGAAAAGCTAAACATTTTTTTACTTCTAATAAAATTCATCTTAGAAATGAAAGCGAGGTATTATATAAGGAACTATATTCTTTGCACCATGTGAAATAAGAAGTTCAGCTGTTTCTCTAATATTTTTTTCTGCTGCATAATGAAGAGCGGTTCTTCCATCATTATTTTTTTCATCGATATTTATACCATGTGAAATAAGAAGTTCAGCTGCTTCTCTACTATTACCATATGCTGCATCATGAAGAGCGGTTTCTCCATCATTATCTTTTTCATTGATATTTACACCGTGTGAAATAAGAAGTTCAGCTGTTTCTCTACTATTATTATATGCTGCACTATGAAGAGCAGTTTTTCCAACACTATCTTTTTCATTGATATTTGCATCATGTGAAATAAGAAGTTCAGCTGTTTCTCTAATATTTTTTCTGCTGCATAATGAAGAGCGGTTTTTCCAACATTATCTTTTTCATTGATAATTATACCATGTGAAATCAGAAATTTGGCTGTTTCTTAACTATTATTAGATGCTGCACCAAAAAGAGCGGTTTCTCCATTATCGTTTTTTGCATTGATATCAGCACCAAGTGAAAGGAAATATTCCCAAAAGGGTGGAATATTAAACATCGATGAATAAGCAAAACATTTGCTAATATCATTAGTTTGATCGAAATAAACTAAAAAGGAATCGAGATTATTGTAAATTTCGCATTCTTCTAAACTGATCTCTAAATTGAATTCATTCATCAAGAATGTAACAAAATCAATGTTGTGTGAGATAAATGCATACTTCATTCATTCTTCATTTGGAGTTTGATATTTCAAACATCCACTCATTATCTCTTGATTTCTTCCTAAAAATGAAAATTGTAAACATGTTTGAGTTATTTCTGATTTAAATTTCGTTCTTAATAACTTGAAACAATCAACTGCTCCATAGTAACAATATAAGTCAATGAATGAAAAATTATCTGTACTACTTTCATATAATTTGTTTTCAAGTTCTTGATCTTTATCAAAAACTTCTCTTTCGGTGAATGAAATAAATCTTTCTAAGTCATTATTCATAATTATTGTTGTAAGAATATCCAGATCTTTTGTGTTATTTTTTTCGAAATCACATGACTTGCCTAATTTAATTCCATATTCTTTGTAAAAAAAAGTTTGAAATAGGATCAACACTATTGATCTCATTGACATGTTAGTCATCACATATGATTTTCACAAGAGATAAATATGACTTTGTATAGCGATTATTACTCGGAATGATATTCAAAATATCTTCAACAATGCGTTGGGGTAGGAATCTATTTGAGTCGATCAATTCTGTTTGGACCTTTTTGTAAATCTTGTTGAGTTCTTCTTCCTTTTCAGTTTTAAGCTGATACAATGCATCATACAAATCGATGTAGTATTTGTACATATTTCGCAGTTCCCCATATTTGTTTAGATGAATGTATTGATCAGACATTAATGGGGAACGCATTTGTAATTTACCAGATAAAATATCTTTATTATTAATTAAGAGAAAAAATTCAATGTTATACATGGAATTAACAATGATATCACGGATTTCGGATCATTATGTATTTTTATTACGTTTATTGATATAAAATGGTATAATGTCAATAGTAAATTAGAAATTATAAGATAGAATCAGGATTGATAGCAGAAATTTGGTCTTTTGTAAGGAAAATCTTTTGATTCTCTTCTTTCCAGAAAGGAATGCAAAGCAAAGGATGGCGATCGCGTGTTAATCCATATCTAAACCTAGATGATACAACACGGATGTCATCTGTTGTCAATCCGTCGACTTTTTCGACGATATCTTCTTCGATACTCTTTGGATGGCGTTGGCTGTACTTTTCTCCACCAGAATTCTTTGGAGCAATACGTACTTCGCCAATAAACTTGTAAAGATCGCGTCTGATGATTCGATCTGAGATATTTTTCGCTTTTTCTCCGTATTCGTTCAACTCTACTGAATAAAGGATACGGTCATCGTACTGAACGAAGACATTTGGATCCTGCGTAAGTTCTGTAATGTCGACTTTCTCAAAGAAGACGTCGAAAATATCCATAATCATTAATTCGATTGCTTGAACAACTCTGTGCTTGTAAACCCGCTCTGCCATATCATTGAAGTTATAAAAGAACATTTCGATTGTTGGTATTTCTGAAAACTTCCAACAAAGTTGATCATCAATTACACGGCTGTTATAAATAAGTCTGTCATAAATGAATGAGCCAGTATTCAATGCACGATTCATATCACGTGAAAGGTAGTCGAATTTATTAATAAATTATTAACATCAATATCACATTGCAAAAGTGCACATGGAATTAGATGGAATTGTGTATTTATACTCTCATCTTTCTCGAGTTCTACTTATACCACGTATTCTGTACAGAATGTCTTTCAAGCAGATAACTATCCTCTCATAATTGATAACCATTCTCCGCATTCTTTTAATGTGAGTTCTCATTCGTTCAAGAGCATTTGAGAGTCCTTGCGCAATCAGTTTGTCACGGAAAAGGTGTTCTCATTTTCTTGGTTTTCTCAAGAACAGATAAAATCCATTTGTTTTAAATCTTCAGTCTGCAATGGAATCAATATTTGTATCAAGAAGAGAATTAAATGCTTGTGTATGTCTCCCAGAATGGCATATCGTTCCGCATTCAAGAGTGCCATATGCATTCTTGTAGCTTTCTATGTGTCATTCTGGTAGATATTACCTATGCAAGTCTCCCAGAATGATATGCGGTGATAAACAACAGTACACTGTTGAAACTTTCGTGTCAAAGTTCCGCAATAAGAATAAAATTGCAATTTAACATTCCAAACTCTCTAAATTAGACAAATCAATAATAATTTTTAAATTTCTCAAAAAATAAATGATATGGATTTAATATTCATAGCTTTGCGGTATAATATCCCCCATTGGAATGAAACAATCTGGATAAAAATGTGCAGATTCAATACCATAACATGGTAAGCCTTCATCTGCCCAATCATCATAGAAAACTGGATTCTTCTGATAAATACTGTCTTCTGAAAAGTACTTTAACATCTCCTTAACAATCTTCTTTTCAAGCCAACCAATTGGATCGCGAAATCCGTCAAAATTATATAAAGGGCAGTAACAATAGGGCATTATAACGAGTGATCCTGGACTTATATCACCATACTTTGATACAACAAAGAGACTTGTTCCATAGAAAAAGAAGACACGATCTTTGAAAACTCCTCGAAATGCAATCACAGGTTGATAAAATTCTCCTTCAGAATCTATAAATTTTTTCTGCTCTCCATTTTTAACATCGAATAAGAAGTCATACTTTTTCTTTGGGATCGGATTGTAAGAAAGACTGTAATCTTGAAATTCATAATCTTCTTTAATATTAGAATATTTAGTATAAGGGTTTCGTTTTGCGAAAAAACGTACAATACGTAATTTCACTAAAAAAACATTTAGCTAGCAATTTCGACCTTTGACTCCACTCAAGACGTCACTTTTTTAATTTTGCGGTATCATATTTTTGGAAAATCTTTATAAATATTATATAAAAAGTCTCTTTAATATCTATATTTCATATTTTTATCGATTTTTAAAGTTTTTGCGAAAAGTATTCAATTATTTTTGCTATTTGGTCGGGTAAATGTCAGATTTGCGACATTTTCTGATATGATATTCAGATTCTACGTTGATAATAATGCTTATAGAACCCTCTTGCTATTGTGTCAAAATTGCGAAACCGATAGCAAAAATATCTCGCAATATCAAAATTGAGATATTGAGTGAATTATGCATTATAGAGATTAAAAATCTGATTTGTGAAAACATCTCATCAGTTTCTAGCTAATTCAAAAATCTTTACTATCTTATTCGATTAAAATGAAAAGGGAATAGTTTCATTATGCTTTAAATGACAGCCTTATAATATAATCATAGTTTTCGCTCAATATGCAGCATTTTTTTTTCGAAATCTATGGTCAATATCCTAAATACTGATTGCTTTGCATTCATATCTCTTACATTTTCTATACCCACATCACTATTCATTGCTATTCCTATCTTTTTCATTTTTGTTTGTTTCTCATAATTTCTCAAAAACATGATAACTTGATATTTGTAAATATCATACTTTATAACGTAAATAAGAACTTGACCTATTAAGAAAAGCAGTAATGAAAAGAAAATCTGAAATTCATAAAAATTACAAATTTCTGATGACAATTAGCTTAATTAAACCAGGTACAAGATTATATAATTGTATTTTCTATCCAATTATCCATATAATATCTTATCCAGAAAAAATAACTTGATCAATACCAAATGATTTTTTTAACTAGTAAATAAAGTATTTTCTTTACACACACATTGTATATCATAGTTTTTTTTTTTTTGGTTTCGCAAAACATCCAAAAACAAATATGCTATAAAAGTGACAATTTTAGCAAAACGAAACCCTTATTTAGTATCATTTGATTTTATTCCACTTTGATAGGTGTATCTTTCTATTTCGACAGGTTTTCCGTCAAATTGTTCTAGAGATTGAATCTTTTGTTGTTTTTGATCATTATTTTTGTCTTGATTGCTATCAGGGCTGTCAATCTTTGGTATGAAAGAAGGTGGTTCTGAAAACTTCGCGTGATATCTGTAAAATGGACAATAAAGATGATAAGGTTTATTTTTCATAGATAATTCAAATATAGCTTTATGAGGATCCCCCTGTAGAAGATGTTCTTCGATATCAAACGTTTCGAGAAGCAATTGTTTATACTCAAAAAATTTAGATATATCGCAATTTAAATCGACAGATTTTGGAAAAATACTCTTTTCGATTGGTTCTAATAACATTTTCGCAATTTTAAGCATTCTCCTCTCAACAGAATTTTCAGACTTAGTTTTTCTTTGTGAAAAACGTTTAACCATTGGTGTGATAGATTCATCATATGTGTAAACTAGTTGAAGATAACCTATATTATATTGCTTATCTATGAAATAATAGTCACATCCAACGAGAAAATCAACATTTTCACTGTCGCATCTGAATGGTATTATTGGAAACGTGTATTTAATCTCGAAATCATCCCCTTCTTTACAATCGGGAACTATTTTCTTATTTATTTCAAATTCTCTGCAAATTTCAGGAAAATTCTGAATTCTTCTGAATTGACGAATGCAATAAACATCTCTGAACAAATCTTCTTCTGTATACGGTATATCTTGTTGTAAGTTATAATGAGGTATTTGACGACATGAACATGTACAACCCATTTTTTTCCTTTTCAGGGTGCCTTATAGACGATAGAACTCCCTCAGAAAAATTTTAAATGCCAATTTGGGTGCCCCGAAATCAATTTTTTTTTATGAAAAAACAACTTTGCGAAAATATGACCCTCATCAAGTAAGAAATCTTTTCTCAATACAAACCAGTAATTTTAATATATTGTATTAAATTTACAATATTTATTTTGACAAAAATAACTTCTCAGAAGAAAATAATTCCACAATATATACAACATAGTCGTTAGCATCATTCTCATTTATTCGGTTTACCTTTAATTTATTTTTTTTGTGAAATTAATTATTCCAATTACGAAACAATGCGAACAACATCCAGTAAAAACTTCTTATATTGTGATATACTATTTGAGTGACAACAATATATGTCAAATTCAAAGGCTCGAAAGTAAAAAAATTGTTCATATTTATAAATCTGATGATTACAATGTAAAACAGGTTAGCAAAATTCCACTCATATCTAACGTCCTATTTTATAATTGGTATGGAATTACATTGGACAAGTCTGAAAATGTCGAAAAGTTTAATTTAAGTGATCTTGATATTCATACAGAAAATACAATTTACAAGGCGATTATGGATAATAACAAAGAAAGATTCATACAATTCATTGAAAGAGATAAATTTGATAAAAATCAAAAGCATTATAACATTTTATATCCAAATACTTATTCAGGATATTCATTACTTGAATTATGTTGTTACCATGGATCAGTTGATTGTTTCAAGTTATTAAGAACGAAATTTAACTCAGACATAACTCAAACATATTTACGATTTTCATTTTTAGGAAGAAATCAAGAGATTATGAGTGAATGTTTGAAATATCAAACTACAAATAAAGAATGCATGAAGTATGCAATTATTTCACACAATATTGATTTTGTTACATTTTTGATGAATGAATATAAAAATTGATATATCTGCATGTGGAGAAAATAGAAATCTTGAATCATTTTTAGTTTATTTCGATCAAACAAATGATTTAAAGAAATGTTTTGTTTATTCGTCAATATTCGGCATAAATTCTCTTTGCGAATAATTCCTTTCACTTGGTGCAAAAATCAATGATAAATATGATTGTGGATTAACTGCTCTTCAGAATGGAGCAAAATATAATAATAAAGAAACAGCAGCACTTCTTCTTTCAAATCATGCAAAAATCAACGAAAAAGATAAAAAGGAAAAAACAACTCTTCATTATGCTACAGAATTTAATAATAAAGAAACAATAGAGCTGCTTCTTTCACACGGTACAAAAGTCAATTGGGCAGTGAACTTTTATCACAAAGAAATAACAGAACTTCTTATTTTAAATGGTGCAAATATCAATGAAAAAGATAGAAATGGAGATACAGCTCTTTCACTTGCAGCAAAGAGTAAAAATAAAGGAATACTATTACTTCTTATTTCATATAATACAAATATCAACGAAAAAAATAAATTTGGAAAAACAACTCTTGATTATGCATCAAAAGGGGAGAACAAGGAAATAGCCGAACTTCGTATTTTAACGGGTTCAAAACAAAAATAGTTCACAAAAGTTTTTTTTTTGGATATGTTTGAATAGTGTACATAGCTATTACATTGCCGTGTGAAAGAAGGATTTCTTATTGGAAAAGTATTTTTATTAAAAATGGTCTATGAAATATTTATATATCCATTCAGAAAATAATCTCTAAAATCTCTAAATTAACTTCGGAAAATATTAAAAATTTAATTTGCATTCACACATTAAATATTACACTTCTGGACCTGAGATATTGCGAATAGTATAACGTGATATGCTTATGATATATCACTTATCTAATTCTTATTCGTTATTGTTCTCGATTGACAAAAAAGTAAATTTTAATTTGTTTACAGAAAAAAAAATTTTTATAACGAAGGAACAGATTGTTTCCATTTTTCATATGCCTGAGTTGCCAAAGCTTTCTTCTCTTTGTTTGTGACAAAGACACGCATCATAGACTGAGAGAAATAGACAGGATTGATAGCAGAAATTTGGTCTTTTGTAAGGAAAATCTTTTGATTCTCTTCTTTCCAGAAAGGAATGCAAAGCAAAGGATGGCGATCGCGTGTTAATCCATATCTAAACCTAGATGATACAACACGGATGTCATCTGTTGTCAATCCGTCGACTTTTTCGACGATATCTTCTTCGATACTCTTTGGATGGCGTTGGCTGTACTTTTCTCCACCGGAATTCTTTGGAGCAATACGTACTTCGCCAATAAACTTGTAAAGATCGCGTCTGATGATTCGATCTGAGATATTTTTCGCTTTTTCTCCGTATTCGTTCAACTCTACTGAATAAAGGATACGGTCATCGTACTGAACGAAGACATTTGGATCCTGCGTAAGTTCTGTAATGTCGACTTTCTCAAAGAAGACGTCGAAAATATCCATAATCATTAATTCGATTGCTTGAACAACTCTGTGCTTGTAAACCCGCTCTGCCATATCATTGAAGTTATAAAAGAACATTTCGATTGTTGGTATTTCTGAAAACTTCCAACAAAGTTGATCATCAATTACACGGCTGTTATAAATAAGTCTGTCATAAATGAATGAGCCAGTATTCAATGCACGATTCATATCACGTGAAAGGTAGTCGAATTTATTAACATCAATGTCACATTGCTGATTATGTACGATTGAAGCTAAATATTTAGGAAAAGTGTTGTATTCGTCGCCTTTTATGTATTCACATGCTGCATCTAATACATCAGATTCGATGTTTAATGAATATTTTTCGTTGATTAATTTCAAAATTTTTGCTGACATTTCTGAATGCTTCCAATACGGATTCTCTTGAGCAACTGCTTGGTCAAATACATAACTGTACGGTCCTTGGCCAAGATCATGACAGAGAGCAGCAATAATAACTGCTTTTTCGTATTTCTCGAGAATATTTAACTCTGGCTGAGTCTTCTTGAAATGATTCATCCATACACCTGCAAGATGAGCACAACCAAGAGAATGCTCGAATCTGCTGTGATTTGTTCCCGGATAAACGTACACAACTCCACCAAGTTGATAAACATTTCTTAATCTTTGAAATTCTGGTGTGTCAATGATAGGCCAGCAATATGCAGGAATAGAGAGAGGGCCATAGATCTGATCCTGTGGTGAATGACTCCTCATTTTTTTATTTTTTTCAAAATTATTTTTACAAATATAAAAGTGACAAATTCAAGAAAAAATTCCAAATGATCATGCATTCTGAGAGTTTCATTGATAGTTGCAGATTAGGCGTGGGATGTTATGTCTATATTGATTGCTGTGAATGCTCTATTGTGCAGCATAGATTGCGAATTGTAAATATAGCCATAAGATACTAGCTCATGAGTTGTGTGTCAGCTCCACGGGTCTATTCCATGTGTGTTCTCAAGCCAAATGACTTCTTTCCATAAGATTTTTAATTGAATAGTTTACACTAAAAAATGAATAGGAGGAGAAGAAAAATACATTATCGCTCTTACTATCCATTATTTATTCTGATTTTCATGTTGAAATGGCCTGATGTAGGCTGCTCAATATATCATGCTGTTCAACTTCCTGATAAAGTCGATGGCCATAGAGAATGGTACGTTCCTAATGACTTTTTTGTAGAATCTATCCATTTTAGAGAGAAAACTAATTATTCACAGAATGCAGTATTTATTTTCGGAAATTTTTCGAATAATTTCAATTCATCAAGAATATATTATAATAATTCATGGTTTAATGGCTCAATTGCTCATCTTCGGAATGTAATAGTTACAAATGCATCGTCTCCAATGGATCACAATACGCTTTACCTCTTTGCTTACAAGTTTCGCTTTGATTTCATTTGGGGCATTCCAAAAGGTAAAATAACTCATGAATACAAAAGTGCTATATGTCTTGGACACTCTGCCGTTCAAAACTATTACGGACACTTCTTCTTTGACATGTTAAATCCATTAATTTTGTTCCCACAAGAAATTGTGAACAAGTCAGTTATACTAAACGTTCCAAAATACTCTCACGGGGATTCCGGGATATTACTTAAAGCCATTGGAATTCAAGATTGGCAAATTAAGTACTGCGATGGAGATTTTTCGTTTGTTCATGATTACTATTGTTGCTATGCTCCAGTACCTGGTATATGGCACCTATCAACGACCATCCAAAATGTTTCAATTTCATTGAAAAAATTTTACAACACGTCAGACGTGAAACCATCGAAATACGTATTGTCGAATAGAAAGAAGACCAGATATATTTACAATTTTGACCAACTCGTTAAATCCGTGAAAAAACATCTTCCAGAATTTTCTTGGGAAGTGGTCGAAGACGGCCTATCTGTAGAAGAATCAGCAAAGGTATATAGTACAATTCTGTTTATGTATACTATAACCGGATCCAACTTATGTAGGTTATATTTTATGAATCCAGGCGGTTGTGTTGTTGATGCTCAAGCGGACTATAATGATTTCGCCATGCAGTCTATTGCTCTTGTTAATGGCTTCAAAATCGTTTGCTATCGCTTGAAAGATTTTTATCATGATAAAATTAATAAAAAACAGACAAGAGTCAATGTAAATATCACAGAAGCACTTTATTACATTGATTTCGGATTGGCAAAAATGAAAGAATGAAAAAAAAATTATTTTATTTTTAATTTAGTTGTTTGTATTTATATTATATTATGTTGTTAGTTTAAATGATACAATTTATTGACTTTTTATTATATTTTGGACACAAATTCAAAATGTTTTTTTTTATATTGTATGGTATTTCAGTTTTTCATTCATATCTTCACATTGCTTGTTCCTACTTAAATGCAGTTATTCCAATAATATGTCAAGATCTATTCTTTTCACAAAATTACGCCTCACAAATGATAACTTTGCTCACATTATATCTAAGGATTTGAACCTCGGTTTTTGAAGCTATAATTTAAAATTTGGCTTTGATAAAATACACGGTACCAAAAATTTGGATCTAGAATTTCAAAGAATGGACTGATTAATATTGGGAGTATGCGCTAATCTGATGTAAAAGGTTTTAAATTCATAATCACATAAATTAATCTAATAAAGTGATATCAACTTTAGCTTTGGCTATTACGCGGCAGATATAGAATCAATATTTAAATATATCAAATAAAAACATTTTATTTTAACAAACAATATATAATATATAATACACGCATATATGATAGAAGTGTACAGCAAGTTTCTTATCTGTATTTGTTTGGCTTAGTCTTGAAATTCCTAAAAAGTTTATAATCGATTTTGTTCGTTGTTAAATATCGATCAACCTCGAAGTAAATTTCATTAGATTTGTTACAGTGGTTATAAATATCACAGCCATAAACTGTTAAATAATGGGTTCCGAATTTAGCATAGTTTGGAATGTCAAATTGTTCAATGAAATTAGAAGGAGTTGAAATGGTTTGTGTTGAACTAATGTTATATTCATCATCATATGATATATATAGTGAAGATAAAGATGTTTTGTCGATATGTTCATATGTGATGTTGATTTTGATAGTGTTGAGACGCATGAATTTATGATGAGTAAGATTATTGATTTTGAAAATTGGTGAGTTGTATTGATATGAGAAGTTCAATTTGCATATTGATGAATTTTTGTTTGTTTCGTCTGTTGCCCAGATAGTTATTGTATGACTATTACTTTCTGGAAAATCTAATGGAAATTGAACTGGAATATTTAATATGTGAATATATGTGTCATTGATTGGATAATTGATCGATTGTGATTCATAATTACCATCGAACTTGTAGAAAAGAGTGACATTTCCACATCGATCTTCATCACGCAGACTGCCTGCAATAAAAATTGATCGACCGTCATTCTTCTTGTACTCTTGATTGTTTAATGCTGAAATAGAAAGAACTGGTGGATTATATTTGTAATTAAATAATTGAAATTTTGTATCTGCTTTATTTGAGTCATCAACAGCTGTAATAATAAGTTTATGAGTTGATTCACTAAGATAAGATGGGAATAGTAAATCAAATGTGAATGGTTGAGGATTTACATTTGAAATTTGATATTCATTGCTTTGAATGAAAATATCATCAATGAAACATTTAATTGTAACAATACCAAATCCATCTTTGTCAACAACTTTGCCTTCAACATGAATACTATTGTTATTGCCACGCCAATATTGTTCATTTATTGGTGAAGTGATTGTGAGTTCTGGTTTATTATAATAATAAATAAACACAATTCTTTCTGTATTTGTTTGTTTGTTTTTTTCATCATAACACCATACTGAGATGTGATGACTTCCTTCTGATAAAATTGTAGGAAGATTAACTTCTTCTGAAAATGAAAATGTACCTTGTGAGTTGATATTTCCATTTGTTAATGTTTTGATATCTTGTTCATCAAATCTATAATTAATATAAATAGTCCCTGCACGATCTGCATCATTAATTATTCCACTTATGGTAATTGTTTTATTTGTTGTCCGATATAAGTTAATGTTTGTAGGGGTTGTAATAGAAAGAACAGGAGAATTATACACATATGAGAAATTAAATTTGAAAATTGATGATTTTTTGTATTTTTCATCTTTTGCCCATAAAGTTATTGTGTGACTATTACTCTCTGGAAAATTTTGTGGAAAATAAATATAAAAGTCATTAGTAATTTCGTTATTATTGGAAATAGTGTATTGATTTAACTTAATGACTTGAAAATCATCAATTTGATATAAAAGAGCAACACTACCACTACAATCGTTATCTCTAATAGTTACGTGTATATTAAAAGTTTTACCATCATTCTTCTTGAATTCACTATTGTTTTCTGCTTGAATATAAAGAACTGGTGGATTATATTTGTATTGGAAATAAAGATCATATGTTGGGCTTGTTTGCTCATCTTTTACTGCATAAATGTATATAGTATTTGAGTTTTCAGGCAAATTACTTGGAATATTTATTTGAATGTTGATAGGTGAAGAAGTTCTTTGGATATTGATTGTGAAATTATATAAATTAGTCTTATCGTAATTGAAATAATAATAAATAATTACGTTTCCTTGGCCAATTGGAGCATTTAATGTCCCTGATAATGTGACATCTTGGCCACTGTTCTGTCGAATTACATCAGGGTTTATTTTTAATTCTGATAGTGATGGAGGTATATTTGGGGGATTTATAGAAAATTCTAAAGTTTCCGTATATGAACAGTCCCAATCATTATCATATTTACACGCTTTCACACAAAAATAGTGTTTTCCTAAATTTAATGTTGAAATATCATAAAATAGTCTGAAATCTTTTGGTGGATAAAAACCGTGAGTATATTGACTGATTTCATCAATATAACAATAAACATCAGTGTAATCATTGGAATTATACATGTCTCTTACTGAAAATGTAACTATCAATTTTTCTGTTGTTTGATATTCAAATGAAGCTTTTTCTGCTCTTAAATTCTCAATTACATATTCTTTCCAACTGAGATTTTTCCTTTTTTTATTATTATATTTTAGTTTTAATTCTTTTTCACTCAAAATAGTTCTGTTATTCCATTTGATTGTAATTTCAATAATTTGTTCATTAGTATTGACAATATACGAAAAGAAATCAGTTGATGACATATCAAAATATTTTCGTTCATTATTGAAGATTATGAAAAATCCGAATTTATTTTGTTCAAAAGAAATTTTAGGATTTTTTATTGTAATATGTTGCTCGATAGAAATCACCTGCGATATATTTCTTCTGTTTACAACACAATAGTAAAATGATTTGTTATTGTCCCAAATTTCGAATTGGCAGCCTGCAAGTTCGATATTCCCGATATTTCGATTGGATATAGTAGCTGTTTCTGATCCAACTGAAAATACTGAAGAAAATTCAATATCCTTATTAAAATCAGCTATAAAACGAAGTAATGAAATCATATTTATCAGTTGTCACTTTTCTTGATACTACATCGGATTAAAGTTTTTGATCAATTTTCGATATTAGAAGGATTAAAATTCATAGATTAATCACCGTTATTCAACGGCAATGCTGAAAAGTAACATCTATAATTTCCAATTCAAATGTATCAAAAAGTGACATAAGATTTTATAAAAAGTGACAAGATCTAAAATGATTGATTTAGAGAGAGCAGTGGGAGGAGCGAAGGGTATTACAGAGCTTTATGAATTTACACAAACAAATCAAGTTGCTATAATACAATTTTCGGTCGATAATGGTATTAAACCACAAATTTTGATAAACCAACAAGAAGGCTCGATATATGTTATTTCTGGTGAAAATAATGTAATTATTTCGGGGCTTACATACGGAAAATTCTACAAATTCGAAACAATTGTCGAAAATAATAAATACGTAATCAAATTAACGAAAGAAAATACAGATAGATGGCCAATTTTGATAAAAGCACCATCAATGAGAGGAATAGATAACAAATCCCTATATCTAATTGGCGTTTACAATGATGGTTGTGCCAAATACGAAGAAGCTTACAAATACTACTACTTAAGTGCGACTAAAGGCTTCGTAACAGCTATTACAACGGTTGCTGATATTCTTTTATCTGATTACAATAACTACGGCGTTAAAAAAGATGTAGATGCAGCATTAAAATTACTTAGAACAATTAAACCAGTAGACAGAACTACAGAAGTTACGCAAACACTTACAACAGATTATATAAGCCAAAATAAGAAGGAAGAAGCTGTTAAAGTGATGAAAGAACACTTATCTGCAAAAGAAGACTTAATTGTCAGGTTTGACCTGGCAAAACTACTTTCTCCTATCGCTGGCGGAATTGGTCCAGCAACAGAAGCAGTTGAATCCCTCAAAATCCTTGTAAAAGCGGGAAATCCTGAAGCAATGCAGTTATTAGCTCAACATCTATACAAAGGAATAGGAACTGTTGAGTGCAGACAAAAGGCATTGGAACTGGATGCACAGGCATGCGAAATTAACCCAAATCTTAAAAGAATTTACGGAAATAACGGAATTTATCAAAATATAGCAATTGCATCAGCAACTACCTTCGCTTTTGCTGGTGCTATATATTATATATGGAATATGCGAAATAGACATTAATTTGTAATTTAATTTTTTATGAATAAAAATTTGTTGGTTTATAATTCAATAATATCAATCAAATCATATCAAATAATATTATTTTAAGTAGTTTATTTATATATACGAGTAACAGATCAATGAAAGATATAAAATTAAATTTCTTCTTTCTCAACAATTTCTTTAAGCCTGTTAATACAAGATCCACATATTTTTTGTACGTATAGGTATCAAATCAATAACTTATCTCCCCTTCATAAAATGATTCTGAAATTCAAAAACTTGTGAAGAAAAATTAATCAGGTCTTATCTTTAATATTATGTTGTGTGGGAATATGCTATGTCAAACCATAATATTAAGTCAGAACTATAAAAAAAAATCTAAAATTTGTAAGTATATAATTATATGACATTTATTTCTTTAAATTAGTAAATAAATAAGAATAAGAAAATGCACTTGAGGAATTTTTGATATTTTTGACATTGATTTTATGTGTTGCTAAATATGGTACAATTTCAATGCAAATTTCATTAGATTTGTTACAATGTTGATGAATATCACAGCCATAAACTGTTAAATAATGGGTTCAACATTGTTCAATGAAATTAGAAGGAGTTGAAATGGTTTGTGTTGAACTAATGTTATATTCATCATCATATGATATATATAGTGAAGATAAAGATGTTTTGTCGATATGTTCATATGTGATGTTGATTTTGATAGTGTTGAGACGCATGAATTTATGATGAGTAAGATTATTGATTTTGAAAATTGGTGAGTTGTATTGATATGAGAAGTTCAATTTGCATATTGATGAATTTTTGTTTGTTTCGTCTGTTGCCCAGATAGTTATTGTATGACTATTACTTTCTGGAAAATCTAATGGAAATTGAACTGGAATATTTAATATGTGAATATATGTGTCATTGATTGGATAATTGATCGATTGTGATTCATAATTACCATCGAACTTGTAGAAAAGAGTGACATTTCCACATCGATCTTCATCACGCAGACTGCCTGCAATAAAAATTGATCGACCGTCATTCTTCTTGTACTCTTGATTGTTTAATGCTGAAATAGAAAGAACTGGTGGATTATATTTGTAATTAAATAATTGAAATTTTGTATCTGCTTTATTTGAGTCATCAACAGCTGTAATAATAAGTTTATGAGTTGATTCACTAAGATAAGATGGGAATAGTAAATCAAATGTGAATGGTTGAGGATTTACATTTGAAATTTGATATTCATTGCTTTGAATGAAAATATCATCAATGAAACATTTAATTGTAACAATACCAAATCCATCTTTGTCAACAACTTTGCCTTCAACATGAATACTATTGTTATTGCCACGCCAATATTGTTCATTTATTGGTGAAGTGATTGTGAGTTCTGGTTTATTATAATAATAAATAAACACAATTCTTTCTGTATTTGTTTGTTTGTTTTTTTCATCATAACACCATACTGTGATGATATGCCTGCCTTCTGATAAAATTGTAGGAAGATTAACTTCTTCTGAAAATGAAAATGTACCTTGTGAGTTGATGTTTCCATTTGTTAATGTTTTGATATCTTGTTCATCAAATCTATAATAGATAGTAACACTCCCTGCACGATCTGTATCATTAATTGTTCCACTTATGGTGATAGTTTTATTTGTTGTCCGATATAAGTTAATGTTTGTTTGAGATGTAATAGAAAGAACAGGAGAATTATACATATATGAGAAATTATATCTGAAAATTGATGATATTTTGTTTGATTCATCTTTTGCCAACATAGTTATCGTGTGACTATTACTTTCTGGAATGTTACTAGGAATTTGTAGATAAGCTCCAAAATTAATTTCTTCATTATTGGAAATAGGAAATTGATTATATTGACTGGGTACATAACTATCGAATTTATAAAAAAGAGTAACAGTTCCACTACCATCGCCATCTCTGATAATTGCGTGAAAATTAAAATTTTTACCATCATTCTTCTTGAATTCACTATTGTTTGCTGCTTGAATATAAAGATATGGATTATAATCCATATGGATTATATATGTATTGGAAATCCAGATCAACTTTTTTACTTGTTTGTCCATCTTTTGTTGCATAAATGTGAATAGAATTTGAGTATTCTGGCAAATCTCTTGGAATATTGATTGCGTAATTGAATGGTGATGTAGAATCATGGATAGTGATTTTGAAATTATATTTTTTAGCAATATCGTTGTTGAAATAATAATAAATTGTGGCTTCACCTTGATTACTAGATGTGCTTAATGTCCCTGATAATGTGACATCTTGATCACTGTTCTTTAGAATTACTTCATGATTTAGTAATAAATTTGATAGTGAAGGAGATCGATTTGGTTTTATAGTAAACCATATAGGGTATTCATCGGTACAATCAAATCCTGAATCACACGCCATCAAACATAATTTGTGATTTCCTTCACTTAATGTTGAGATATCATATACTTTTGTGAAATCTTTTGGAGGATTAAAACTTTCAACTGTTTGGTATTGCATGCTATCAATACCAGAATAAAGAAAAGAAATATAACCATATTCTGGATCCTCAACTACAGAAAACGTAACTTTCAATTTTTCTGTTGTTTGATATGTAAATTCATTCTTTTCTAGATTGACTTTTATAATTTTTAAAGTATTGGCAAGGGTATTTTTCTTTTTATTATTATTATATTTCAGTTTTAATTCTGATCCACTCAAAATAGTTCGGTTATTCCATTTGATCGTAATTTCGAGATTTTGTTCATTAGAATTAATGTTATATGAAAAGAAATCGGTAGATGACATATCAAAATATTTTCGTTCATTATTGTAGATTATGAAAAATCCGAGATTTTTTCGTTCAACAGAAATTTGAGGATTTTTTATTGTAATATGTTGCTCGATAGAAATCATCTGCGATATGTTTCTTCTGTTTACAACGCGATAGTAAAATGATTTGTTATTGTCCCAAATTTCGAATTGACAGCCTGCAAGTTCGATATTTCTGATATTTCGATCTGATATCGTAGCCATTTCTGATCCAACTGAAAAAGCTGAAGAAAATTCAACATCCTTATTCAAATCAGCTATAAAACGAAGTAATGAAATCATATTTTTCTCCAAATGTCACTTTTCCAATTTTTTCATTACTTTCCGATAATAAAATTTCGGACTTATTTTCCGGACAAATGTAATCAAACTCAATAAACTACTCAAATGCATTCCGAAAAATCACCAACGGTGCGTATTTTGTTTGATTTTGAAAAGTGACCTTTCTCCATTGATTTGAAACTGAGAAGCCAATTAATGAGTTTTGGTTACAACATCTCAAAATATATTTCGACATGAGTGCACTACTGCATGATATTTATTTGAAAGTAACAAAACCAATTCAAACCCTCTGTTTTATAATTATTCCATATTAATCTAAAAAAAAATATTCCATATTTATCTAAAAATCATCGAAGAAATATTGTGTGTATTTTTCCTTTATGGTAAACAAATCTAAACGGAAATTGTTATCTGGTCTAATCGATTTGCTAAAATTTGACTGTTTTATACTGCTAGATTAAACACTTATAGTCAATACAAGACCATGCCAATTGATTTTTCATGATTTTTGTATATCTAAATTGCGATTATAAAAGCATTCATTATTTTTCGATTTAATTTTCACATTTGATTGAATTCGCATTTCGACATACTATTTTGAGCTTTATGAAGCAATATGACAATCAAAATGACAGTTCGATGTCAAAACGGTTGAATTTTTTTTATTCACATTTCAAAAAAAATTAATAAAATGTTTAGTTCTTTAGTTAAAAAGATCACAGAAAGTCCCTACCAGGATTATTCAAACTTCCAACGCACATTTGATTCCAATAACAACTTCAATAACCTTCTTCGTACAAATTATGCGGCTGCATTTGGTGAAAACTACAACTTCTTCCAAGACAAGCAAGTTGAAGACATCAAGCAAGTATACATCAAACTAAAGCCAATCGGAGGTGAATTACTTGAGTTACACGTTGGCCAGATGGACTTCTTACAAGAATATTCACTTTTCTGCCATGAATTAAAGAAAATCCTAGAGACACAGAATGCTAAGCTTGCTGAAAAAGAAAATAAAGAAAAGATTCAGCAGAAAATGCAAGATAGATTAGATTCCGATCAAAAGAAGCTCGATACAGCTAAATCCGCAGGAAAAACCGAAGCTGCAGCCAAGCTTGAAAACACTGTTTCTACTGATGAAGCTAATTTAAACGATGCAAAGGCAAATGCTCAAAAAGCTGAACAAGATTACAATAACTACATGGAAGAATCGAAGACAAAGTTCCCTGCCCTCTTCGTTGATAAGACTATTTCACTAGTTCGTAAATTACAAGCATCTTCGCAGAAGAATAACCAAATTGGTAGTAAAATACTTGAAGTTGCTCAGCAATTCCACGACTTCGATGATCCAAGCTCTAAGGCATTACGTGATCGCTTGGAATTGTGGAATCAAACAACAGTTTAAATTATGTTTCGATTAAGTATGATCAGAACATTATATCAGCATATTAACACTTTCTCTATAAACTGATTAGTTTATATTTCTAGATTTTTTGAAATAAATGTCATGATTTTTTAATTTGAAAAATTATTTTATAACAAAGAAAAATTTCTTGTTGTTTTCTTATTGTTGATTTGAATTTGGGAAATCTAAGCATTTTTCTTGATTTTCAAATTCAATATTCTTTACAAGTTAACTTCAAAATGCCAATAGCCCTAGTGTTCCGTTTAAATAGCTGTATATTTCAAGTTTTTGACCCTTAGTCAAACAATGTAGAACTGAAATGTGATGATTTAATCAATTTTAGTGAAATTCAACATATATATATACACTAAGGATAACGTTTGGAGAAATAACGGCTGGGGTCTCGAAAATCCAAGATATAAGCTTATATACATAGGTATTAGATCGAATTATAGAAATACTAAAATTTCAAGATTCTTCACGCCGGTAAAAATAAGATTTGATGTCTGAAAACCAGCCTCTTCCTGAGAATTTCAAAGGACTCATTGATAAATATAAGTTTTATATTGATGCAATTGATGCCCTCTATCGTCTGAAGACTAGAAATGAGGAAGAAGTAAATGATGTTTATAAAATTGTCAAAACAAATCTTATTGATTCAAACATCTATACTCCAAAAGATATTATCAAAATAATAAATAACGTGATTCAATACCGATTTGGCTATCTTAAGTCATTTTTGATCTTAGGTAAAAAGTTTGACGAAAATTACACGATTAAACAAGATCTATTGGCCATCCATGAAGAACAATCTATTCACAGAGCAATTATCTATGATGATATAAAGTCATTTATATCATTTACAGAAATGAATGGTTTTAATAAAAATCAAATGATTAAAAACACTTTTAATTCACCTTCAACTGATGACGGTTATTCATTACTCGAACTATGCTGTTATCATGGTGCAGTTAATTGTTTTAAGTTTTTAAGAACAAAATTCGACTCAAAAATCACTTTTCTTTGTCTTCAATTTTCATTTTTAGGAGGAAATCCAGATATAATGAGTGAATGCTTGAAATCACAAAAGCCAAATTTTGGTAGCATGACATATGCTCTTATTTCGCATAACATTGATTTTGTTACATTTTTGATTAATGAATACAAACTCAAGATAATTTTAAATCCTTGTGTTCAAAATCATAATCTTCAATCATTTTTAGTTCATTTGGAACTTACAAAAGATATTAATAATTGTTTACTTTTTTCACCAATTTTGAACATTCCATCTCTTTGCGAAGACTTACTTTCTCTAGGTGCAGATGTCAATTTCAAAGATCGATACGGATTTACAGCACTTCATAATGCTGTCAAAAATAACAGAAAAGAAATAATTGAACTTCTTATTTCTCGTGGTGCTGATATCAATGTAAAGAATGGTTCCTATGCATCTCTTCTTCATTTAGCAGCCAGAGAAAATTATAAAGAAGCAGCAGAAGTACTTCTTGATCACAATGCAGATATTAATGCACTTGATAGCCATAAATATACACCTGTTCATATTGCAAAAATAAATAACAGTAAAGAAGTATTAGAACTTCTTATTTCTCGTGGTGCAGAACCTACAACAAAGTAAAACATTATAAAGTAGAAAATGATAATTGAGGATATTGAGAACACCGTTTCAATTTATTATAAAATGATTGTACCCCCCAATAAATATTTTCCCCGTCGATTTGTAAAGTTCCCCACTTTTCGCAAGCTTACAATAATGTTAGTGAATACTGTGTCAATTTCCACTTAATTTATTGAATACTTTACAATTTTTAACCACTTTTGATTTTGTTTTGTATTGTTCAGACCCTTTTTCACCAATTGAGAACCAATATATGAGTTAAATATTAAACTAAATGAGATTCCACTAAGCTAGGGAAGAGATTATACATGTTCAAACTATAGTTTGTGCTTCATAAATTTTATTTAATTTTTGAGAAATATCAATGACCTACTAGATTCTTTGCCACAGATATCTTCATGATAACATCAATCATTTTATGTACAAGTCACACAATTTATATAGATTCGCCAAAATTATATCTTCAATCAGAATCCATACCCTGCACAAGAACATGAAATGCACATCAAGGACGAGTTATAATTTTTGATGAGTTTTATTCAGTTCTTAACTCATCATTTAAAAAAATTCAACGTAAACTATTCAAAATTTGATGATGTAGGAAGAACGATAGTTTTTTTTTGGATTCGGGTCAAATATGTTAAGTTCTGAGCAATCAAATAATGAAACTGAATTCAATTTTAGTGACATCAAGACAATTGAAGCATTTGAATACCCTAATCAAGCATCAAAAAAGATTTGGAGTATCAATTCAAATAATATTCTACATATATCTTCACAAATTATAGAACTCATTACAAATAACAAAATATCTATCCAATTGTCACTTCACCTGATTGATATTATTTCACAACTTCGTGATAAAGATATTAAATTATTTGCAGAACTTTACGAAAAGATATTAAACGAATTCTCATGCATCATCAAACCTGAAAATGCGAAATTAACGACGCTTCTACATTACAAAGGTTTCAAATTTGAATTTTTCAAACCTACAAAGAAAGAAGAAGAAATTCTCAATTTATATCCAACAGAATCTCCTTTATACTATATTGCATGGGATAAAGTTGATGACCTTAAGAGCAAATTCCCAAATATAGAGATTGATCAGAAAATTAATGAAATTACTCCATTTGACTATTATTGCAATCAGAACTAATTCAATTGAAATTGTGAAATTCTTAGTTGAACATGGTGCTGATGTTAACAAACAAACTATTCTCTTTCTTTTCATATTTATCATTATTTTATACAATTCTCATTCTTTTCATATTTATCATTATTTTATTACATTGTCTTTCTTTTCATATTTATAATTGCTTTATATCATTCTATTTCTTTTTATATTTATCATTGTTTTATGGCATTCTCTTTCTTTTTATATTTCTCATTGTTTTATTACATTCGCATTCATTTCATATCTATCATTATATAATGATGTTCTCTCTATGTTAATGAATGCCCTCTTATTATTGCAATCAGAGCTAATTCGATTGAAATTGTGAAATTCTTAGTTGAACATGGTGCTAATGTTAACAAACAAATTATTCTCTTTCTTTTCATATTTATCATTACTTTATAAAACTCTCTTTCTTTTTATATTTCTCATTGTTTTATTACATTCGCATTCATTTCATATCTATCATTATATAATGATGTTCTCTCTATGTTAATGAATGCCCTCTTATTATTGCAATCAGAGCTAATTCGATTGAAATTGTGAAATTCTTAGTTGAACATGGTGCTAATGTTAACAAACAAATTATTCTCTTTCTTTCCATATTCATCATTACTTTATAAAACTCTCTTTCTTTTTATATTTCTCATTGTTTTATTACATTCGCATTCATTTCATATCTATCATTATATAATGATGTTCTCTCTATGTTAATGAATGCCCTCTTATTATTGCAATCAGAGCTAATTCATTTGAAATTATGAAATTCTTAGTTGAACATGGTGCTGATGTTAACATGAAATATATTCTCTTACTTTTCATGTTTTTCATTATTTCATGACATTCTCTTACTTTTCATGTTTTTCATTATTTCATGACATTCTCTTTCTTTTCACATTTACTATCGTTTTATAACAATCTCTTTCTTTTTATATTTATCATTGCTTTATTACATTTTCTTTCTTTTCATATTTACCATTATTTTATGGTATTCTCTTTCTTTACACATTTAACATCATTTTATAACACTCTCTTTCTTTTTATATTTATCATTGTATAATGCAATTCTTTCTATGTAAATGAGTGCCCTCTTAGTATTTCAATCAAAGGGTATTCAATAGAAATTGTCAAAATTTTAGTTGAACATGGTGCTGATGTTAACATGAAACTTATTCTCTTTCTTTTCATATTTATCATCATTATATAGCATTCTCTTTCTTTTTATATTTTTCATTGCTTTATTACATTTTTTTTCTTTTCATATATATCATTATTTTATACAATTATTTTTCTTTTCATATTTCTCGTTGTTTTATGGTATTCTCATTCATTTCATATTTCTCATTGTTTTATTACATTTTCTTTCTTTTCATATTTATCATTGTATAATGCAATTCTTTCTATGTAAATGAGTGCCCTCTTAGTATTTCAATCAAAGGGTATTCAATAGAAATTGTCAAAATTTTAGTTGAACATGGTGCTGATGTTAACATGAAACTTATTCTCTTTCTTTTCATATTTATCATCATTATATAGCATTCTCTTTCTTTTTATATTTTTCATTGCTTTATTACATTTTTTTTCTTTTCATATATATCATTATTTTATACAATTATTTTTCTTTTCATATTTCTCGTTGTTTTATGGTATTCTCATTCATTTCATATTTCTCATTGTTTTATTACATTTTCTTTCTTTTCATATTTATCATTGTATAATGCAATTCTTTCTATGTAAATGAGTGCCCTCTTAGTATTTCAATCAAAGGGTATTCAATAGAAATTGTCAAAATTTTAGTTGAACATGGTGCTGATGTTAACATGAAACTTATTCTCTTTCTTTTCATATTTATCATCATTATATAGCATTCTCTTTCTTTTTATATTTTTCATTGCTTTATTACATTCGCATTCATTTCATATTTATCATTGTATAATGCAATTCTTTCTATATTAATGAGTGCCCCCTTAGCATTGCAATCAAAGCTAATTCAATTGAAATTATGAAATTCTTAGTTGAACATGGTGCTAAGAATGGATCATTCTAGAATGGAAAAAAAGTAAAAAGACGATCAAAATTCACTCAATTTCCACTTTTCTCTCCTTTTTTTGCATTGATTCGGCATGCGTTTTTCTATTGAAGTGTTTTTATTCTGGGCTCCTGCGCTTCGCTTGGAGCCCCAGAATAAAAGCACTGCCTTTTTAAAGCCAATAAACTAACTTTTGTCATTAAGGGTGGTAAAATTAAAGCACTTTTATATTGATATTAGATGATATAATTTTTCATTCATAAAAAAATCCACTCTAAAATAGCTCCTATGAATAGCAAATAATTTTTGAGTTGCATAATTCTATATTGAAACAATATATAGTAATACTGTCACATTATTTAAGAATTAACATTTCATTTTTTTTGATATATCTTTGAAGAAAATATAAAATAAATAAAGCAAAATGAATATCAGGCAAGTCCATGGAATTTGATTATTGCCATTAGATAAAGCTTAGTTTATGGATAGTTAACTTCGTCCATGGATTATGCTCATGTCCATGTACAATAATACAGTCCATGGTCTTGCCTATTAAATAAAAATATCAAAAGTTAATAGAGTTGTCTTTCGACATCTTTGCTTATTTAGATCATATTCCATGCTATTGATAGTTTTGTAGACGCAAGGAAAAGTAAGTCCAAAGTGTTGAGATACAGATAGTTTTGTCATTCTAGGATCAATTCCCTCAGATCTGTAGATTTTGTCCATTGCCTTAGTTCATGCATCACTTGGAGAAACTCCACTTGAAAAGACTTTTTCTCCTTTCTTTCCTATCAAAATAACAATAAATATATCATACTATCATTGATTTCACTTCTGAAGTTCTGAGAACATCTATTGCTTCTTGTTGCAAAATCCAACTGGATGAGATATCAATTTTCCACTATACAATTCACCATCATATATCTGTCCGAAATTCTCAATCGTCAATGAATCTCCTGCAGAAAATGGATGACTTGGATAGCTCTCGTCACTTTTCGGATTTTGACCAATGCAAAGGGTATCACTTATTTTGCTGGCAAAAGAAATACGACTTTTATTGTCCATTTCATTCAAAAACAATAAATGTGACAGATTGGACTGTTTGAAATAATTCATTTCCATTTTTGCATCATTTTTGAGTGATTTTATGATTTTTGATGGAATACAAACTCCTTCATTAATGCTCTTTTGAGTAAATACATATTTTATGATGCAATCAAAATGACTAATATTTTTTTATGTTTTTCTGATAAAATGTTTAGTTCGCTGATTGAATTTTCATCATTATCAATTCAAGGAGAGAAAAGATATTTAATAATTCAATCAATTTCCTATTTTGATTCTAATATTAGTTAAATGTCACAACTCATCATACAATTTGTTAGAATCTCCTACAATTTTTGATATATATTAGAAATAACAGCGTATAATATTTTTAGCATTGCAATATCGGGGAATATAGAGTGATGAGATAAATATATTATTCAATATGATGGATGGCGCGTGTACAGATTTGCACAAATCCAACGAAGTAAAATCCCTTTTTGTATTTACAGATTCCAGGATAATCGCATATCATGTTCGCAGCACAGTGTGGATGACAAATCCAACAGCCTCCTTCTGTACACATGATTTTTGTTTCAGATGCAAGTATCATTTGGCCCTTCCGTTTCTGATAATGTATTCATATTTCCAGGTAGCGAAAACTATTCTGTTTTTATATAAGTGTACTTTCACCATTTCTAGCCTGAGAAAAGGACTCATATTTATGGTATACTTTGTGAAATTGAATTCCTAAACAGATTGTCCAGTTAGGTTGCCATCTATTGAATTCAGTAGCCTTGAAAATAAAGAATACAGCATTTCCAGATATTTGATTCCGACTTATCGTCCTGTCCGATTATTATTGATTCAATCTTCTAAATTTTAATCGGTCAGTAGTATATGTGGAAGGGTTTTGTGACTTTTTTTGTAAACGTAAGAATTCATACAATATTGAGCGATTTTGTATCATTTTTTTAACATATGAAGTAAAAAATGTATGATTCTTACGGTTTTTATTCTTACGTTTTTGAATAAATCAAGATTTAAAAAATTTTCAAAATTGTAAGACATTTACACTCAGCCCAAACATAAACCATTAAAAAAATTAACATTGATTTTAAAATAATTTATTTTTCATCTTTTATAAAAGAAGCTATATATAGATGATGTCAGATATTCCACGATTAATTAAACATTGTTTAAATCCTGAATGGAATCAATAAAGTCATAATCAAAGACCTCATAAACGAGTAAAAGAAATTAGAAACTAATGATTATTTGAATTTATGAAATCAATTATTTGATTCATTCTTTCTTCAATCTCTTCTATTCTTTTTGTTAAATCATCTATTTTCATTAATGAGGTGATTCTTGATTGAGGAATAGATTTCAAACTAACCACCCCTTTTATTTTTGAAATTTTGAATCCATCAACTTTAAACATTTTATTCAATTTACACGTTGTCAATTCTTCAAATAATTTTTTATTATTAGCATAATAGTCATTAAATTCTTCAACAGATGAAAAAATTTTTATTTCAGTAATTGGTTTAACAACGTTTATTTTTTGTTGAACATTTTCACTTTCATTTATTTCTTCCTCCTCTGTTTCATTTATTTTTAAAATCGGTTTCATTTATCATTAAATAAAAATTAGAATATAAGTGATGAAATATATTTTTTTAATTAATATAGGGTGTCCAAAGGTGCGTTTAGCACAGCGCTCTATATGAGACTATTAAAGGAGATATATGCTGATTATAAATATATAATAAAAAATATGAATATATGTATATGATGAGTAAGTTGTATTTTGGCGCCATGCCGGGATATAAAATGAATTTTGAGACAAGAGGCGGTTTCGCGGGAAATTTTGGCGGGATTTTTTTCATTTTTTAATGAATCA